GGCTCGCTGCTCCACCGCGGTCAGCGGCTCTGAGGGCCGATGCGGCTCCGGTTTGCAAAGAAAGTTAGAGGGTCCAGTTCTAGGCTCTCCGGAGCCGCCGCGGCCTCCCGGGGTCTGGCTACGGGATGCGCTGCCGCACTTGAGGCGAGTGAGGGAGCCAGGAAGCTCCGAGGCGCCTGAGCAGCCGCGTAGAAACGGAGAGTACCTGATCTGTAACCGGTCAGCGGCTCTGAGGGCCGATGCGGCTCCGGTTTGCAAAGAAAGTTAGAGGGTCCAGTTCTAGGCTCTCCGGAGCCGCCGCGGCCTCCCGGGGTCTGGCTACGGGATGCGCTGCCGCACTTGAGGCGAGTGAGGGAGCCAGGAAGCTCCGAGGCGCCTGAGCAGCCGCGTAGAAACGGAGAGTACCTGATCTGTAACTCCCCAGACAAACCTGCTGTAAGAATTGCCGGCATAGCCAGAGTTTTGCGTACTTGAACGTTGCCGAGGGAGCAGTATTGCGGAGACAGCCGGCGTATAAGCACCTGCTGCAAGAAGTTAAAAACGTAGCTACTTGATTTTGTTTTGTAGAATTGAAGCAGCTCGATGCCCAGATGTGGTCGTGGCACAAATAGACCCCAAAAAATTGAGAAAGAAGCAGACAGTAAACATTTCAGTAAGTTTGGCACCTTTTACGTGTTTTGTTTTGAGAGAAAAAAAATAAGGGGAAAGACGTAAATATCAGTGTTGATACCAATTTTGGGGAGTGTTTGGCATAACTGAACCATAGCACTGCTGGATTTTAAAAGCATCTACAGAATTAAAGTTAATGTCTGGGTTTGATGAAACACCTGTTCAGCTGCTGGCTAACAGCATCTTTATAGCTGATTTAAATTTATAATAGCTGTACTATTTGATACACTACAACACTCATGTTTCACTGAGTTGAAATGTTGCATTAAATTTTACAAATATTTAATATTAAAACTGTAGAATAAAGATACTTCCATACCTATATTTACGTTTAAATGTATATATATCTAGAGTAAGCATTGTAAATGCAACTAAGCTTTTAGTAAAGTTAAATTCTAGCACCATTTCCCTTTTGGGGGAATATTTTATCAGAATTTTTCCTTACCATCCAAGCAGATTTTTCTGTTGTCACATTGCCCTGCCAGCTTGCTTTCTAATCTACTTTCAAACAGTTCAAAAGACCAGGTTGCTTTTCTCAAGTGAAAACTGTGTAATCTGAAATTTCACTACTAGGTTGCTCAAGAAAAGTTTCCAGTACTGACGTATGACCAACTTCTGTGAAAACATTCTCTTAATTTATCTAATCTCTTTGTAGTGGCATTCTTAAACATTTGTAGAAATATTCTTTAAAAAACCCACAAAAAGCAACAAAAACCTCTGAAGATAAGCATGAAAGCGTTTGTATCTACTTCATGGACAGTTTTGTCTTCCTCAACTTGTTGTCTTGGCAAGTAGAGCTCTAAGATTCCATAGCATCTGTCCAAGATAACAACACAACGCCCTGCTTTTCCTAAACAGGGAAATAAAGGCAGAACAATTCTTTAAAACAAAACTTCAAATAATTCTTTGACAATGTATTTTGAATACTTAGTTTTTCTTCTTACTTGCATATGAGAAGAGTGAAACCAGATAAATCTTGTCTAAACCATTGTCAGTCTTGCTTGTGGTCATGAAATTACCTTTTTGTACTGAACACTTAAAGGTTATTGTTTAGCTGACAGTAAACATTTACTGGCTTTCTTGTTAAGTGTTCTTCTTATAAAGCTTTCTTCACACTGTAATTACTGCCAGTGTTTCCTTAGATTTCCGGATGTCAGCCTGCTCCTGAAGGATACTCCCCAACACTCAGGTGGCAGCAGCAGCAAGTGGCCAATTTCTCAGTCGTTCGTCAGGTACGAAATGGTGTGCGTGAGGGGACCTGCGCTGTCTACATAGAACACATCTGTGCTTCAAGGGGGACAACCTTGAATCTAGAAATGTTGTGATTATGGTAGAAAAGATATTCGTAGGCACGCGTTTTACATTCTTGTGAAAAAAAAATCAGTCTATACTGAGTGGCTTTCAAACCTCTGCTAAAACTCTAGAGAGTCATGTTTAAAAAGAGTTTTCATTCAACCTCAGCAAAAATATCTGCCAGTATTTCGATCAAAAGCAACATAGCTGAGGGAGGAAAAGAATGCCTATGATTTTATGCATTTATATTAAAACCTAGT